AAGAGCTCGGGGTGACAGCATCGCACACACCACAGCATAGCTTTTATCCTGGGGATGTCTCTTGATGTTTTGGATTGATGTAGTATGATACAGTTTTCCGCACAATATTTTATTATGTTTTGGGGATACATCGCGTATGTTTTATGTTATGATACTTATATTATGGTTTTGATTATATGGAAAAACGAAAATTTTTGGGTCGTGTTTTTGGGTTGTTTCAATCACACTCTATCATCTTACAAGGAAAAATGGCAGATTTTTCTCATAAAAAACTCTTATGAACTCACCAACTTAATTGTTGACGCTTTTTTAAAACTGCTTATATTATTAAGAAATCAGTAAACAAGTAATCAAAACGGTTTTTGAGGATGGAGCGCTACAGCATCATGTTATTTATTTTTTTCATGTGTATTTTGGTATCAAACAACCAATGGTTTGAATAAAATGTAAACTTATCAATTATCTATATGATGGTTGTATGGTTTTGATCATTATTATTCAATTGTTATGATAGTGTACATGAAATCATCCACCCCCAGACATTTTCGTCGTTCTGGTTTGGGGTGTGACAAAATTGCTAGTAATCAAATCAATTTCTCCAAATATTTGTGGGATTTGACTTTACTTTCTCTGACTCCTATGGGTTCGTAGTATTTTAGTCTCTAGTTGTAAAGTTCAAAGGAGAGGTTAAACTTCATGACAAATATAAATTTTTTAAATTAATTGGTACACCCATTACAATTTGGATCACCCTGAACTAATGCTATCCTCATCACGATTTTCCTTATTTTTCACAGTTTTCATCATGATTGGTACACCCATGAGAGCTCGTAGTTTAAATGGATATATCTAGAAATTCAAGGTTGGGTCTGCCATCAATTAGCCTTCAATTGCATTTCATCTGATTAAAAAAACCCTTGCAAGAGATGGGTTCTTGATTTAATTTCTTTTGATTCCATCTCAACACTTCTACTTCTGGTATTCTTCAAGTCTTTTATGTTTTATAGTGCAAGTGGGTTTATTGCTTATGGTTTGCAGTGATGGGTTTCAAGCAAGCCTCCTACAAATTAAAAATCAGATGGTAATTTCGCTGTCCACCAAGTTTTTGATAAAATTTCAAAGTTAAATTTTCAAAACAACTGGTGTTGATCAGTTTGGTAGTTCATGTTCAAATATTTGTTAGTTTTCATTAAAGTTTCTACAATTCTGAATGCCAAAATAGTTGGTACTTGGTAGGTTAAAATATGTAATTTTTTAATAGATTGTTGAAACTTATCATGATCAAATCAAGATTCATAAGAGTTTTAATTGTTCTGTGATTTTTTACATAATTGTGTTTATTGAGTATGTTGAATTTGGGTTGTTTAATTATCTTGTGTTCTTGTTTAAAATGTTCTATTGTCTTTGTTTTACCATGTTCTATTGTATTTGCTTTCCACCGTGAGCAAAGTAAAATTGTCATTTTTCATAGTCAGATGTACAATCAAATAATATGGTTTCTTACTCAGTTAGGATTTCTTACCCATATATACTTTTCCAGGTCAGTAATTTATCAGCCAACAACTATCAAATGTGACCTTACATATAATTAATTAATAATTGATTGAGAGATTGATTTTGATTGAGATATGGATTATTGAGAGAGTTGTTTATGATCGATGAGATAGATCATTAACGAGAGAGATTCTGATTGAGATGGAACATGATTGAGAGAATTGATTTTGATCGAGAAAAAATAGATATTCGCCGAGAGACAGATATTTCTAAAAATTAGATTACATCGGATCTTGATGCATGATTTACATGAATTTATATGATTATGTATTAAGAAGTAATTGATTGATATTGAAAATATCGTTTAGTCTAAGAGATTGATACTATATTGAAAGATTCATCTTGATTGAGAGATGAATCGTTAATTAAATGATAACTTATAATTAAGAGATAGATTTTGATGAGATAGATCATTTTCGAGTAATTGATTGTGATTGATTTGTGATATGCGTGCTATTTATGATATCTGTGATATGTGATATGTAAATTATACAAAGATTTAATTAATTGATTATCGTTGAGAAATTATTTATTACTATTACTTATAACATTTTCGAGAAACACATTATAATTGATAGATTGATTAAGATTAACAAATAGATCATGATTGATGGCTTAATCACGGTCGAATGATATATTATAATAAATATATTGATTTCCATTAAGAGAGATAGATACTGATAGAGAGTGATTAACTATGATTGGGAGAGATTTGTTAACATTGAGAGACAAATTATCGATGGAAAGAAAGAGCTTAATTAATAGATTGATTATATATGAGAGATTTATCTTAATTGATTAAGAGAGAGAGGGAGGGAGGGGAGAGAGTGAGAGAGAGAGAGAGAGAGAGAGATGGAGACCTATCATTAATCGATAGAGTGATCACGATTGAGAGATAGATGATTGACTGAGAAATAAATCATTTATTTAGATATAAATTATGAATAAGTGATAGATCATTAGAGAGAGGTTGGTTATGAGAATACCATTAATTGATATTAGTTAATTTCTACATACGTGAGAAAATGAGTTATTATATGATTATATGATTTATCTGATTATGTTTTAGTAGATATTATTCACTAAGCAACGAGACTTACGTTTTTGTGATGATCTATTTTGCAAGTAGATTATTTGTGATGCCCGACCCGATGTTGTACTTGTGGTCAGTACAATCCTTGTGATAACTTCTTGTATGCCCGTTAGCCAATATACACCAAATTAAATTGTAAATTTTTAAATGAGAAATGAATTTTTTTGGGTGTACTTGGGTACTTGTTCCGCAACCACCTGATGCTAACACTATCAATTGTATTTGGATGTTTAAGAAGAAATTAAATGCAGATGGCTTCATGTCTTGCAATAAAGACCGTCTTCTTGATAATGGTTGTAATCAAAGACCTGATATTGATTGTGATGGGATTTTCAGTCTGGTGGTTAAACCGACCACCATACGCACGGTTCCGAGCATTGTTGTCACACACAAGTGGCCCGTTTGCCAACTAGATGTGAATAATGCATTTCTTCATGGACATTTACAGGAAAATGTGTATATGCAGCAGCCTCCAGAGTTTTGGGATCCCTCTAGACGTCATCATGAGTGCTTGCTTCAGAGATCATTGTACGATCTCAAACAAGCTCCTCGGGATTGATTTTGGTGTTTTTCCATGTTTATCTCACGGATTGGTTTTGTCCGCCCCTGGGCTACTGTGTCTTTCTCGAGCACAATATGATATCATGGTCTTCCATACATCAAAATATGATATCGAGGTCTAGTGCAGATGTAGAATATCAATGTGTTGCAAATGTTGTTGCCGAAACATGTTGGATTCGTAATCTTTTACTTGAGTTACATTATTCTCCTCACCGGGCTACTGTTGTTTATTGTGACAATGCCAGTGTTGTATATATGTCTTCTAATATGGTTCATCATACCAAACACATAAAAATTGATCTTCATTTTGTTAGAGGCAAGGTAGCTACCATACATGTGTGTGTTCTTCACTTTCCCTCCTCGTCTCAATATGCTGACATCTTTACAAAGAGTCTCCCTTCTTCTTTATTTCTCGATTTTAGATCCAGCTTGAACGTTCAAGATCATCCTCCCGTTCTCGCTACAAGGGATGTTAGCGGTTTTATTATTATAATCATTTATGTTGTATTGTTTTATGTGATCGGCCCATTTGACCTTATCTTAATGTATCCTTTTATATATACGTTCATTTAATAGAATATCAGTTGGGTGCAATCCCTATCAGCTTAATGACATTAGATCAAAAGCATGAAACAAAATTGAAGCGAAATACACCAACTGTTTTTTTAAATTCCAAGTTCCACTTAAAATCGTAAAATAAATAAAGAGTAAATATGCAATAAGTTATTATCACTTTCAAGGTATGAACTAAGGCTTGGTCATGTTCATAAACAACCAAGAATTTAGTGTAATTAAAAGAAAATAAATCTTGTACGCACTAAAAAGGGCATCCTTACTTTGGGTAAGTTGTTGGCATTCTCAATATCCATTGGTGAGTCACACAGTTTACTTGAACATGGCCTAAAAATTTATAGGGCCCATAATTTTCAGATTTTCTATAGTACTATTTAGAGGTGAAAAAAGAAATTTAGCGTAACAAGCCACTACATATGTTGAAAGATGAACCCGAAGCAAACAATAATACTAGTGGAATGTAATATAGTTAGGTGGGCTACTATATTGATAAGCTTCAAATTGCTGGGAATTATCTTTATATGTAACTCACAAAAAGAATATAGATTCAAGATAACAATATAGTTTAATCAAAGGTTTTTCCCACATTCAAGAATCAAGAGGTGAGTTCTCAAGAGAACTTTACAAAATTAACTCATACCCTCTATGAACCTAACACAAAAGATTAAACACCTTAGCTATACCCCCAAGCATAAGACTAAAATGCCAGCTCAACTAGTTTCCTTCTTTCTCTCCTGATGTAGACTAACAAGGTTTGGGTTTTATATGTCCTTCTTCCTCCTCTCCTAATGTAGACTAACAAGTCTGTGGGTTTATCATATATAAACATCTACCCATCTGTATAACACAAAACATGCATTCACATTTAGTATTTTATACCTTAACATTTACTTCCAAACATATTATACAAAAACAAAAGTGCCCAACAAATTAAACACAAATAGATCTCCACTTACTGTCAGTTTCATGAGACCCTTCTTGATTTCTTGATTCCATTTTTATGGTGGTTAGTGTATCCCCATGGTTGTTTCCTTATTTAAGATATGGTTTTAATTCACAGCTTCCACAAGAATCCACCTTCATCGTATGTGCCATCAACTCACAACCTCCACTAACTGAATCCTTCATCAACTGTATTTTCCACATTATCATATCATATGTTTATATCCTTTTCTACAACAAACTTGCAATAACTATATCTACAATTAATATTTGTAATTTACCTTCCAATCAATGACCCAAACTTAAACATAAATTGAGAATATGCCACTTTCCCAGAAGTTATCATGCGAGCATAAGGAGCGTTTGTTGGTGCTGAATACAGAAATATAAGTAAGTTATAAAAGTAAAGATAACAACATAGTAATTTTATAGAATAGTTTATAAAGTGTGACATACAAACAAAATTAGAGCCTTTTTCACCCACTGTTATCAAAACTCTCCCATCTTTCACCAAGAATGACAATGCAAACAAGTTCTCCACAGTTTGTGCAAATGAGATTTTGTTTAAAACAATGTTTCCAAGACAAACTTTTTTGTTGGTTTTAAGGATATCAAACATTGTTGCAACAATTTCTCAGTGTTTGTCTTCTCTTTGGCGACTGTATCCTTAATCTGGAGAATGGAAATAATATAAACAACACTTTCATATAAATAAAACCACAATATTGACAATTTGATATTATGATATACAACATACCTCTTTTGGTTTCACATTCACCTTCTTTTCCTTCAGAGATGACCTTGAACGTTTTTGTTTAACTAAAACTCTTGGTGGTTGGGTATCATGATTCATGTGTCCAAGCCTTCAAGGAGAATTTTAAATGCTTTAAAACAAAAGAATCAATACTAGATTAGGAATATATCAAGTTAAAGAACTCACATGCTGCAGGGACCCTGGAAAGTCATGAACAGAGAAGAAGCATGCAAACCAATATCTTTCCAGAGAATCTGGTCACTTTCAGTTATTCTTCTTCTTTTCTTCTTCTTCCCAAATCGATTGATCAAACTTGAAACAAATAGTGATGGAGTTACACTTCCTATGTTATGAACCTTGATGGAAGTCACCAATGTGCTAGCTAGATCTCGAAGTGCTCCTGCATCCGATACTTGCTCTCTTGGTTTATTGACTACAAGAGCCGAAAAGGTATTAGAAAACTCATACGTGTCATACATGATTGCATACTATAGTGTTTAGCTTTTTTCTTTTTGGAAATTTTGTATTAGAAACCAAATTAGTATGATCCAGAATAGCAAAAATCAATCACCACGTTTCTGCAATCTGCAGATTCATTGAAGATAATGCAACTTTTATGTTTGATCGATTTTGTATCTATAGCATTCAAGTATATAATAAATACATAGTACCAAGCAAACCTTAAAGGTGAGTGTAACTTGCAAGATAGGAGACGAAGATGCAGAACATAATACCGATGATCTTGTAAAATTTAAGAGCAACAACGTCATGATCACAAAACAACATAGCCGTGAGTATTACCTAGATGATGCATTCCGTCGAATTCATCTATAATGGAGATGAATTCCTTCGAATTAGCAGCTGCTATCTCATCTCTTCTACCTAAAAATTTACATCGAGAACTAAGAGAGCATATGAATAAACGAAATCAACAAAAATTGTTATTTGTTAAAACTAGGTACACGTTCTTGTAGAATAAACAATGAAAAGTACCACGAATGTAATTCTGAATTGAAAGATATCCGGAATGAAGTTCACTACGCTGGGTATACTTTTGATCGTTGGACTTAGTAGCATTTGCATATTCCCTTTTAGGTCACTTCTTCCGATCATCGTTTATCGGCATTGTTGGTTCTACTGACTGAGTAGCATCTGCATACTCCCTTTTAGGCCGCTTCTTCCGATCATTGTTTATCGGCATTGTTGGTTCTACTAACAGGCAGTTCTTTAGTTGGAATTCAGGGAAACCCTTAACCCTAGAATGGAGAGAGATTTTGAATCAAAAGTTCAAGATTTCAATTGAAGCAGATGAGTCGGCGTGGCCAGTACGATTTCCATTGCGATGACTTGGGCTAGGGGTGTAAGTTCCCGCGTGTTATGTAAAAAATAAATAAATAAAATGAATCGAGTAATCTACATTTTGGTCCCTCTTGTTTGCTCCATTCTGTACTTTTAGTCCAACTTTTGATTTTTTGACATTTCTTAGAAGTACACCTTTGGTCCACGAGGCTAACTCCGTTGTTTATTAGCCATTAAGTTAGACTCAAAAGACCAATATGCCTCTCATTTGTCTTTTCGTTATTTGATCAGTTTCTAAACTACAATGATCAATTTAGTAAATGATGATCATCATCACCACTACCAACAGCACCAATCAACACTATAACCATTATCAACAATCACCATCCATTAGAAACCTAGTTGAGAGAGAGTGGGAGGTAGAGGTGAAGGTGGAGCAGGCGGAGGTGTTGGTCTGTTTTCTAAACTATAAGGACCAATTTAGTAAATGATCGTCACCATCACCACTACCAACAACACCAATCATCACCATAACCATTGTCAATAATCACAATCCATTAGAAACCTAATTGAGTGAGAGTGGGAGGTAAAGGTGAGGTTGGAGCAGGCAGAGGTGTTGGTTTGTTTTCTAAACTAGAAGGACCAATTTAGCAAATGATCATCATCATCACCACTACCAACACCAATCACCACCATAACCGTTGTCAACAATCACCATCCATTAGAAACCTAGTTGATAGAAAGTGGGAGGTAGAGGTAAAGGTGGAGTTGGCGGAGGTGTTGGTATCTTTGGAACCGAAATAACAAGGTCACAAGGATGGCATTGGTGGCTTGATGGGTGTCTCCTTATGGCGACGGTCGACTTACAAATAGTTAATGGTGTAATAGAGGTAGAGAGAGGTGAAAGAATCAAGAGGTAAAGGTATTTAGTTTGGGAGTTTATTTATTATTTATTTATCTATATATATATATATTTTTTTTAATTTTTGATCATTTGTACGACTAGACTTTGTAGTTTAATCAAATGAATTGATTTAATCAAATGAATTGATTTTTTTTTTCTTTCAAATTTATGTATTTTTTTTCCCAATAGCGTTGATTGCTAACTTAAACAGGATATTTTTTAATAAAAATGTTTATTGGTTTATATATAAATAAAATATAGTTTAAATTTTGGTTGAGTTAGTCTTACAAAAAATTGTTTGAGCTTTCTAATGTGATACCAAAACATGAAAAATTAATAAGTTTATAAAAACAAATCTTTCATTATAGATGTACATATCTAAATTTAAAACTAAATGATATATGATAAGTGTATATATTATCTTTATAAAAAAAAATATGAGAAACAATTTTTTTCCTCCTCCACAATTCAGAATGCAACACTCAACATATTTAATAAAACTAATAAATTTTTGTTACATCATCTCAAAATAATAGGAAAATAAATAGAAATAATAAGTACTATAATATTTAATTTTTAGTTTAAATAGCAACCAAACCTTATTTTAAATACATTTGTAAATTTTAATTTGTAATAACTTAAAGAATTAATGTTGATAAAAAAAAAATCTAGAGAAAAACGTCATTATAAATAGACAATAGATAGAAATCAAATTTATTTCAGAGAAATTATCCAAATAGAAAGGCCATGGTTTATCAACTCTCATTAAGTTTGGGACCTATTATTTCTCATCCTTCAAATACCCCCCAAAAAAATTCTTAAGTCGCTTGAAAGATGATTGACCATTACTAATTCATTTTCTCTTCCAAAAAAAAAAATCCTAGTACAATTCACCATGCATATAAGAACATAGATATATTAGATTACAAAGATGGAATGTTCCTACTTTCTAGTGAGCAACAAAAGAAGAACTAAACCACCACTCTACTTACAAATGTCAGATTAAGGAGATCAAATACACTTCCATGCACAGTTACAGTTATGGTGTTTTCTTCACGTCTTTCCTGCCTTTGCATTTGTCAGAACTGATACCTCTGTTCCCTATCTGCGACATCAAAAGTTTTTTAATTCCATGATTCCAGTTACATTTGTAAAATAAACAAAATGAATATGTTATCTGCAATAAGTTATTACCACTTTCAAAGTCTGAGATGCTTTCAAGCTTTGCAATGGCATCAACTAGGGCTTGTTCATGCTCCTAAAACAACCAACAATTTAGTGTAACTAAAAGAAATAAATCCTGTGTGCACAAATAAAATAAAATAAAAAAACCATCCTTACTTTAAGCAACTTTCTGGCATTTTCAATATCCATCGGATCAGCATTGCTTGAGCTAAAAACCCTGTCAACCTGTTAAAAAGTCAGTGGATATGAGTTTTTAGAAGATTTGAGAAGGGGGGGAGGGGTTATAAGGTATATATACCTCTTTAACAAGGGTATCAGTGTGAAGTATTTGAATATCACTCAAAGCCTTCTTTGCAATGCCATTTTGTGATGGAGGTAGCAACTCTTTCTTGGATTGACCTTTCATGATTCCATTCCGTCTTTCAGGACCATCAGTCATTCCATTTCCACCGCGTGCCATGGACTTCTTCATCCCGTGACCCAATCTGCTTCCGCCACCTGTACGAGAAATCCCAACATCTTCTTGTTTCCAGCGAATATCATTAGGCGATATCTAGGAATTCATTGTTTTTTAGTGAAAATCAAACTCATTATTAAGATCCCATGAAGATGGAACTCAATCCTTACCTGTCTGAGATTAACCCATTCCCAAGCTTCATTTGGTGTACCCGCATCATACACCAGAGCATGATTCCCCTGTATGTAAATTGTAAATAATTAAAATTAATCGCATACATTCACTAGTAGATAATAATGTATACCTCAATGGGATTGAAGTCACTTATAACAGCCTCATAGAAGCTATTGTCTTCAGGCCAACGTGTCCAGACTTTCCTCCCAATCAGAGGATCAGAGCTATTTTCAAGACCCTGTTGTTTAGGAGCTTCACCCCTGCCATTGAAACCTGTTGAACCATACTGCATAAAAAATATGGTTTTGTTAAAGCAAATAAGTTATTGGTTTGCTTTAAAACTCAAAAGTTAAAAGTTAAAACTCATCAGCTTACTGATAAAGATGGTTTCTGTTTCTTATACGATGCAGAAGCAGTAGGGCAATTGGGCATTCCAGGTTGAAGGACATTCACTTTCCTCCATTCCCTGTAGATGACAAAAAGTAATCCAGTTTATGAAACTAAATGAAGTTATTTATTTATACATGATGAGTAAATAAATACCTTATCCTCCCAATCAAATCATCAGAGTTAACTCTAGACAGAAGCTTTCTGTGTTCATCATCTGTCACTCTCAATTCTTTCCTAAGTTCTGTTATTAAACTTTCCATCTCCTGTAGAATGATACAATATAAAAGCCTTAAAGTCAGCAAAGAGAAATATGAATATGTGAAGGAAAGTAATCACAAGGCTTGCTTACCCATGAAATAGCATCAGACTGAGCTTTAAAGGCACGAAGAACTGAACAATATGCTTCTTGCTCTATCTGGTGGATCTGTACTTCCATGTCGTTTTGCATTTGGAGAAATGGAGTACTATTAACAATTGCAGTTCTTGTGTTCTCAATAACTGGCCTCTGAGTTCTGAATTTGTTCTGATGTGAAGGAGGGAGGTTATCATCTGTTCCTGCAGTTTTGATAAAAAAGAACTTTATCTTTTATAAAGAATGTGATTCAAAGGAGAGGTAATAAAAGCTAATTTGGCAAAATCAAACCAAAGTCTATCATTTCCTAGAAACTATAAAGGTAATTTGAGTCTGATCGTGTTGATGATTATAGCTCATCTATGATGACTAACATGGTGCTAGTTACTTTACATCTCATGATCCCACAAGCCTTTCAACTATCCAAGAAACCCCTCATGACAAGAGCCCAAACGAAACGCTTTTCAAGCCCTAGGGTTTTCTAACACATGTAGAACAAGTGTGAGATACCAAGAAAGAAATATGTCCATCTTTGAAAACAAAATTAACTCAATCCTCAGTCCTCATTAAAGTTTAAACACTAAAAGATATAAATCAACAAGTCTAAACTTCCATACTTCTAAATCGCGAATGCGAATCATACTTTGCGATTCGAGACTTCACACAGATAAATCACAAGATATACCAATTTAAGGGGAAATGTTTATCAGGTCATCGCATAACATTTTAAAAGGAGGAAAAGGATTTTGCTCTTAGATGAAAATGTATATAATAGCATAATTTGGCGTATGCTTGTATGTGTAATGTACATGAACGATCTACAGAAATAGGACTCACCGCTGCTATCTGAACGCTCGAAGTCCATGGTAGACCGAAAATCTCATGAAGTAATTGGCGCACAGAAGATGACACGATTCTATGAATCGTACCATAAGAAGACACATAAACAGTAAGCGGGCGTTAGATAGGGTTGCTAAAACAAAATTCTGGAGTGTATGTTCAAGAAGTTTATCATACCTTTGGTCCGACGATGAAAATGACGAAATGAATGGTATGAAACTATGAATGGGAGAAGAAGAAACAAAAAAATAAAAAATAAAAAAAGAGCGAGTATGAAGGATAGCGATGGCAGGTACGGTGGATAGCAGTGTCAGTGACCGGCGGTTCTTCGGAGGAGAGAGACCCTTGGGACCTGCGACTGCGAGAGTGAGAGGTGTGGGAAGAGGCGGAGGCAACTGAACGTCATCGTTTTGGAAATGAAGGGGGGGGGGGGGGTGTTTGACCCTAAAATTAAATTAGCCGACTGGTTATGTTTCCGGTTTTTCCGAGGAGGCGACCTAATAATGCCGGTATAACGGGAGGTACATCGTTTTTTAGAGTTACGTTGCTGCTCGTTATTATAGCAACGTGAATGCTAAATTTTTCGGTAACCGTCAAAAAAAGATCCGTTGAAAAACGGTCGAAAAATAACTTTTTTTTCAATTTTTACTCATCATATATACATTTTCACTTCATTTTTTACATATCTTCATTAATCACACACAAGGTGTCATGGTTTCGCCATGGCTCCAAGATTTGTATGTGTCGTCAAACTTTATCAAAACGCCTCATTGACTCATATATGTGTATAAAAATAAATAATAGTTGAAAATACGTATAAAAGATGAATTATATACAAAATTATCTTCTTAAGTCACGTTTTACAAACGATGTGACTCGCCAATACTCGGAAAAGTTTGAGGCTTGATATTGCCGCCAAATCACGTCTTACGTTATTTAGAACATTTATTACACACAACACAATATGTATCAAAATCACAACACTCCTCCTCTAAACACAAACACATCACCTCCTCTCGGTTTTGCACAATATGAGGTGTACACAAACATCCTCAACTCTCAAAGCACAACACAACTTCCATTTTCCGGCAACTTTTTCAATCCTGTCTAACCCCCACCAAATTTTCCTACAACAAAGGGAAACCGATCGCGATTGAGCAATCGGAAGAAGAACCTCCAACATGGTGGATTGCGGAGGAAGAATACGCGTTGACGGTATCGTGGTGCAGGACATCAAAAAACTCAACTCAGGGAAACGATATAAAGAAGAGTCATTTTTTGGGAAGCTGTGATCGCCAAATTTCGGACTATTTTGAAAAATGATGAAAACTATCGCAATCACAATATGTTGAGTAGCAAGTTGATTCAAATAAACAGGAAATGCAAAAAGTTCAATTCTATCTACAACAAATTTTCCTCCACAAGCAAAGTGGTGCGACCGATTCTGATGTTTTTAGATAGGCAAGGGACTAATATCATGTTGAGACGAGTCACGTTTTCGAGCACGAAAAGATTTGAGAGTTTGTTAAAGAAGACCATAAATGGAATAAAACAAACACATTTGCGGAGCAACAATCCAAGAGGTATCGTGGCTCGGGTTCGATCGACTTTTCGGACGCACGCATGAACATCGACCTCAAGGCAGACACAGATGAGCTATCGGACAACGTCAACGACATTGAAGAGATCTTCCCGCCTCAACAACCGATAGGGCGCGACAAAGCGATGCGGGCTCAACGACATGCAGAAGAAAGCGAAAGTAGACTTCGAGAGCACGCGGAAATAAAACAAAAATTTGACACCCACAACGAAATCACACTTAAAAGACATGAGTTGCAACGTGAGCATTTGAAGTTCCTTCGTCAAGAAGCCAATGAAGATCGCATGACGAAGGGTTTGGCAATTCTTCAAACTGGCAATGATAATATGTCACCGAGATGGGCAGAAGTACTCCGAAAAATGAAGGCGAAGATCAAACAGAAATATTTAGGTGAATATTAGTGTATTGGTTTTATGTTTTTAAAATTTTAGGAATATCATATGTTTTTTGTCGATGTTTTTTTTTCTTCCTTCGTAATGTCTTTTTTTAAATGGTATGTTTAACTAAGTATTTAATTTAATTATGTTTTGTTGAGAAAAGTAAAGGTTTAGATCAAACTTAAACATTAATCTTTGCTATTGGCAAGGTAGAAATGGTATTATATGTATTTTTGTATGGGTGTGTTTTGTAAAGTGCACGAGGAAAATGGGTTTATACGCGGGTTGTAGTTCGGGTTATGGATATATTCATGAAGTTATGACCCGGGTATATATTCTAGCTAAACCGATCAGTTGATTCATTCTCTCAATATATTTTATGAGTTCACCTACTTTTTTGTCGTTCACTGTAACAGATTAGGGTTTGTTCATAACGTTTCTTTGTTCTTAGATCACATAGATTCTCCAGTTCATATGAGTGTGAGTGGTTTATGTAGTAAGGTTTATTTTGTAATTTGTTGATGTATAAACCATCTGTTTCATGATTAAATGAAATGATGAAGTTGGGAATTGTTGAGTTGATTAGATTTTTAGATGGTATCAGAGCTTAAGGCTTCGTTCTTCTTTGTATAATGCTCAACGAGTTTTGTTCATCACCTGATTGTCAGGTAATTTCTTCTCTTTTTACGTTTCTTGTTTGTTGAATCTACTTGTTTTTTCGATCTAAGTATTCCTCTGAACGCTATCGTTCTTTTAAGGAGACATAAATTGTTAATGTTCGATCTGTTTTTTGGATTGTTCCTGTAAAGTTAAATCGAACATATTACTTGTTTTGTTTTCTTTAGTTCCTGGTACTGCGAATCGTGTTTGTATGATTGTAGGTTTCTCCTGTGGGTCATCATCGGTTTGTAAGAATCTTATCGTCCTGTGGATTGTCATCGGTGAAAACCCTATTCGACTTGAGGATCATTGTCGATAAAAAACCCTAATCGATTAATCTTATTATCAAAAATAACTCTTTAGAGGTAGGATTTTATCACCGATAAACCCTAGTAAGGAACGGATAAGGAGAGTCGATTCCTCTTCTGTTAGCTTTAATCACTGTGAGAACGTTTCTTGTTCCTTTTTGGTATCTCTTTTTTTGATATCTGTTCTGGGAGATCCTGGTGTCTTGTGTACACCAGTTACTTTTCATGTTCATTTTACCTGGTTAATTATTTTTACATGGATAGTTCTTTTGTATTGATTGTCTTGGGCCCCAATATATGTGGTGACCATCTTGACTAAATATTAGTACAAGAAGTGTGGTCTTGTTTAAGTTTATTTGTTTTGTTTTGGCTCTTGGTTTTCTTTCTGTGTGTTCTAAATGGCTGGTGGTTCTAATGATCCACCTAGTGGAAGTGGAAAGGATGATCAAGTTAATTTTGATGATCCTCTTTACATCCATCCTTCTGATAATGCTGTTACATCAATTACTACAATAAAATTATCTGGAAATGAAAACTTTAGACTATGGAGAAGTTCTATTTCTATAGCTCTCAAGGCAAGAAATAAACTAAGGTCTGTAGATGGAACTTTTAAGAAAAATAGACTTGATGAGTCTAAACAGTCTAAATGGGATAGGGCTAATGATGTTGTCTGTTCTTGGCTTCTGTCTTCTATTTCTGATTCCATTTATCAGAGTCAAGCTTATTTAGAAGTTGCAGAAGAAATTTGGGAAAGTCTTTTTGAAACTTATAATAAATATGATGGATCTGTTGTGTTTAATATTCACCAACAAATTAATTCTCATAAACAAAATGGTGTTTCTATGTCTGATTACTTCATTAAGCTTGATTCCTTATGGAAGGAACTTGATGGTCTTACTAGCTTAACTGAGTGTGTTTGTGATGCTTCCATTAAGCTTAAAGATCATTCTAATCTCATGAAACTTATGCAGTTCTTATCTAGTTTAGATGATTCTTACAGTCAAGTTAAGAGTCACATTTTGTTAATGGACCCTTTACCAAATGTGAAAATTGCATTCTCTATTGTGACAAGGGAAGAATCCCTTCAAAGAAATGGATCCTTGTCTTCATTTCAGTCATCTCAGTCTGTGACAAAGTCTCAGTCCACTGCCTTTAACATTAGATTTAATAACAGGTCTAATACTAAAAATAAGGGTCAAACTGTTCAGTGTAAAAATTGTGGTACTAAAGGACATACTATAGAGAAATGTTACAGGTTGATTGGATATCCCAAGGATTTTAAACTAGGAAATGAAAATAATAATCAAAATAATTTTGTGAAAATTTTTTCTGCTAATTCTTCTACTACTTCTGGAAATGGAAGTGCTTCTAATTTTCCTGATTCTAATGGGGATTCTGAGTTTCATCAGCTCACCAAAGATCAATATGTCAAGTTTTTGCAATTGATTGGTGGTAAACATGTTAGTAAAGAGTCTTCTATCAATGCCAATATGGCAAGTACTTGCTTATTTCAAGCTTATAATTCTTCTATTAATTCACCTAAATGGATTGTTGACTCAAGAGCTAATCAACACATGATTGCTTATGAGTCACTTCTTCATGATACTTTGGATGTATCAAAATTAGATTTAGTAGTTAGTCATCCTAATTGCACATCTACTAAAATTAATAAAATTGGTAATCTAAATATGTCTGACTCTTTAACCTTGTTTGATGTATTTGCTCCTGATTTCAATGTGAATTCACTGTCTGTCCATAAGGTTTGTAAATATAGTAATTGTGAAGTTGTGTTTAATGAACATAGTTGTAAAATTCAGGGTTTACAGTCAAAGGTGATGGTGGGGAATGGTAGAGAGTCTGGAGGTCTCTATTACATAAATAGTGCACCTTCAGGTATTACTTCTAGTCTCTCTAAGTCCTCTTCAGTATGTTATGTATCTAAATTAACTTTGCATCATAGGCTTGGTCACCCTTCTGATCAAGCTTTGGGTGTTTTAAAATCCAAACTTAAAATTGGTAATGAAAGTCTTCCCTCATGTGATGTTTGTCATAAAGCTAAACGGACTAGAGAAACTTTTCC